ATGATTTTCATTGGAATTTATGACTCAACTCTGCTGTTCCAAGGTCAATTTTTTATTCACTTTTTTTATAAACACAAATTTTCACTAAAAACCTTAAAATTATTAGAGAAATTATTACATAAAAACCTCAAATCTAAATATATATATATATATATATATAATATATAATATATATAAATATATATATATATATATATATATATATATATATATATATATATATATAAATAATATATATATATAATATATATATATAATATATATATATATATATATATATATATATATATATATATATATATATAAAATATATATATATATATATATATATAAAAAAAAAGCACAGTAAGATATATAATCCGTGTTCTTATTGATATTTTTTTTTTTATTTTTACAAAACAATGCTCAATGTAAATTCATAGAGCATAAATATTATAAATTAACTGATTTAAAATATGATTTTTCTGCTACACATTAATAACCATGTTTCAAAAATGGAAGCTAAAAACTTCAAATTTAATTTTGTAATTAAATTAAAAGCATTAGTTCCATTTTATCTTCAAGCAAATATTGGAATAACTTATTAAGTTATTCCAATACTGGAATAACAAGTTATTCCAATATTATTATTAAGCGAATATTATATTATATATATATATATATATATAAAATAAACTTTACATACTTTAACATTCGGAATGTTTTCTTACACTTATTTGATTATCTGTTACTTCCTTACATGTGTGTTGGGGCCACCCACCTTCTCATCAGAATGGACTGATCTCTCTACTACTAATAGGAAAGTTCTAGAGAGTTCTGAAAGAGATCAGGTGACCATCACACTTCCGTCTCTCTACCGGAAGATACAGTTGGACTTTATACTCTTTCTGATTGTTACTGACTAACCTGTGTTCGTTTGACTACTAATCTCTCTGTTGTAAATATCTCTTCAGATATACCAGTATTTTTCCCTACGTATGTATTTGTCCTTATTTCAATACACGCACGCGGAAACACACCAACATCTCAACAATGTGACACATAGCCAAAACATCCTATAACATCTTATTAACTTTTACACACTTTAGCATCAAGAATGTTTGTCACACATATTTAAATATTATCTGTTACTTCAATACACATGACACGTATCTAAGCAATGAAATAGCCTAACACAACACACAATTAAACTGTGACTTTGCTTTTAATAATTTTTTATCATTTCTATCTTGATTTCTGATGAAGCTTTAATAAAAATGAAACATGTTAGATTAAGATGTGTTTCCTACTTGTTTTCCTATTATTTTATCATATTCCTATCCTTACTCGACCTCTAATCATGCATATACATGTGCACGCACACACAAAGATAGACAAACAGAAAGTCCTGTCCAAAAGTGTTTAACCAATTAAAAATATTTGGGTGTAGGTGTCTCACATCATCCCATCTCATTCACTATTTTGTCTTTTTTGCAACAGTACTGAAAGCAGAAAACCCAAAAAGTTTAGGTAGTCAAAAATTTTAGCATGCCTATTTTTGTGGGGGATTCTTTCATGCTTTTCTCTCCCATTCAGAAGTCATACTACAAAATATGATAATTATGTATGGAAATTACTCAGATAGCTTTAATATTTCAACTGTAGAAAATGCAAAGTGAAAAAAATCTACTTAAAAACTAAGTATAAAAAAAAAAAAAAAAAAAAAAATGGCAATTACCAAATTTCCCGGAAAATACCCTCAAAAATCACCCTGCAACTTAGCACTGAAAGACCAAGCTGTAGAGAGGAGTTTGACAACTAGTTACAAGATAAAAGCAATCAGAAATCCCAGACATATAAACTCACAATTATCATTCATATTTAATAAATACTGTATAACCTGTTAGTATCATACCACAGACATTGGTGAAAATAAGTTTAAGACCGACGGTTAAAGTTTTATTAATTTTAGAATATATTTCTAATAAAACAATATAAATTAGTTTTATTGTGTACGCTTTATGTAGAATTTATTTCTCTTTCGAATGATGTAAAATTTGTATATTTTTCTACAACTTGAAAAATTTTAATGCTTTATTACTATTATTAATGATTTAATGCTGGATTATTATTAATGATTAAATTATTTAAATTTGCCGTCAAAATAAGTTTAAGACCTCATGGGTATTATTATATTTAAAGCAAAAAGTTATAGTAAAAATGAGTAAAAAAAAAAATTTATCAATATTTAGTGCCATAACCTTTATTATTAATTACAGCTTCACATCTTCTAGGCATCGAGCTTGATAAGTGAGCACAAAAATCATTTGGAATGCTTTGCCACATTTGCTTAATATAATTGTATAATTAGGCTAAATTTGTCAATTTTTTAGCATGGACTTTTTTTTAGAAATATAACTCCATAAATTTTCAATCAGATTAAGATCAGGACTCTGTGGAGGCTACTCAATGATACCCATATTATGGTGATCAAAAAATTGCATTACATTTTGGCTTTGTGAATGGGGCTATTATCTTGTTGATAAATAGCTACAGGTGGCATTTGGTCAGTCAAATATTGCAGAACATGTTCCTTAACTAGCTGCATATAGCCTACACTGTTGAGCTTTCAATCAACTTTAACAATTGGACCAATACCAAAGCTACTGAACACACCCCCACACCATTACACCCCTGCCTCCCGCTTGCAGCGTCTTTTTAACACATTTAGGATGGAATTCCTCTGTTCCGTCTGACAAAGGTTTTTTCTATCTGATCCAAAGATGCAAAAGCATGACATGTCACTCCAAAGAACTTTACACCAGTTATCAGCCACCCATTGAATGTGACTTTTCATGAAATTCTGCACCTGAGTCGATTCCTCTCCAAAATAACTGGCTTCTTTCTAGCAATGTGCCTGAATAATCCAAATTCTCTTAAACAATTTTACATCATTTGAAAGAGAAATAAATTCTGCATAATGTGTACAAAATAAAACTAATTTATATTGTTTTATTAGAAACATATTTTGAAATGTATAAAACTTTAACCACTGGTCTTAAACTTATTTTTGCCAGTGTATATTATTTTTTATTGTATATTGATGATAACCAGGAGTTATGTAAAATAGTACTGATTTATGGACTCTGAAACAATTAAGGAGTCACTGGAGTTGGAGTCAGTAATACTATACAGACTCCAGTTGAATTTACACTTTATGTAAAAAGTCTTATGTTATAGAATTTTTATTTTTATTGTTATTTCTTCAACTGTATATTTACTAATTCCTTTAAAGAAACTCATCCTACCTTCTTTTTTAAAGTTAGTTATTTTGTATTTGCAAAACTATATATGAAAAAAATCTTACATTATAGAAGTTTTATTTTTGTTATGTCTTTTGCATCCTGTAAAAGATTATATTTCAACATCTTTTATAAGGTAGTTTAATTTTTGCCCTATACTTATTTCTTATTTGCAAAAATATATACATAAAAGCCACAATATTTTTATTCTTTGATATAAGCCAGTTCTAATGATATAGGCCTACTCAAGTTAGGAGCATATGCATAAGCATTATGAGATTTATAGGCCATAATCACTTAATTATATAGAGAAAATATTGAAGAATGAATAGGTATGATATAAAGCCACAATACCTTTATTCTTTGATATAAACCAGTTCTAATAATATAGGCCTACTCAAGATAGGAGCGTATGCATAGGATTTATGAGATTTGTAGGCCATAATCACTTAATTACATAAAGAGGAGTCAGAGTTAAAGGTGCCAAAAATAAAGGAGTCAGTGTCAAAGGATTTGTGTTCCAACTATACAGCCATGGTATTGAGATGGCTTGTGGTGGCAAGCAGGAGATGTTTCTGGTGTGAATAGGTATAACATTGTGCTAAACTATTGCAACTCTAATTGATAATAACCCCTATTTAATAATAGGTCCAAAATGGTATCATTTGTTGTGACCGAAAGAAAGAAATATGACACTGCAGAATTGATAACTTAGACTGCTACTACAATAAGCTATTAAATCCTCAAATATTTTTTTCTCTCAATACCCCTACTTGGCTGCACCAAAAGCACCCATTAGGAGGCACTCTTTAAGTCAATAAAAAAGCAATCATATCTTCTCTCTTTTTAACTCTGGCTTCCAGATATAGTTGAACATAGATAAAGAACACTGTCGACAGGGTGCATTAGCATCCTTGGTCCTCTGTTGACATTTGAACTCTCTCACACAGGCACATACACACACAAAGAAACAAATAAGCACATTTTTATAATTTTAATGTTTTTTTTCCTTTCATTACAGTTACATACACATGTACTTTTTTGTGTTAATTACATGCATTGTCATGTGTTATTTATTTTTACTTTGACTCACATGACTCCGCCAATAATGTTTGCAGAACAAATGTCCCAGGAGCCAATAAATACATACTATAAAATGTCTATACACATCACAACCAAGGAGATAATACCTGCAGTATAATGGTGACTAATTATAACCAAATGCAATAGATTCCTGCAACTACTTAATTATTAGGTGCATCTTACCACTTGTAGCCTCTTAGAATATGACAAATACAGTAATTGAAATTTGTAATAGATTAAAATGGACAGAGACTTTTGTATAGTACTACATACGTGTGTGTAAAAAATGACCCATGAAATCTGAAAGCATTCAGAAAATATTAGACAACTCATGTTTATGATTTAATGGCTTATATATAAGAATTGTAAAAGCCAAAAAATGCTTAGAAGACATTGAACAATTTATGGCTAAAACTACCTGAAAAAACAAGAAAATGGTCTGAATTAAAGTAAAAGTAAAAAAAATCTTAAATAACTGGTTGGTCTTCAAACCACATGTGCGTAAATGTGAAATTGCCACACCCAATGGATATCACATCATACTCTGCATATACAGACTATTGCCAAAAACTTATCTGGAATATAGACATATGCAAAACACAAAAATTACTCTTATAATTACAAATAAATACTCACTTGATATAGGTGTTAAACAATTATCTGTGAGTTGCCGACAAGATCCCAACTTTAACGTCTTTAATTTCTTTAAGGCTAAAACAGAAGAAAAGAAATAAGTTTTAATATTTAAATGATGACTGCATGCACTGATAAAGAAATTTCAACTCCTTTAATAATATACATGTTTAGCCATATTTTTTTTGTTGAGGCAGAACTGGATTAATCTTGCATATAGCAAGGATCTGACAAAGGATCTCTGTGATAATGCAAGGTTTTACAAGACTGGATACCCAACAAAACACTTACAGCAGTCCAAGAACACAGTGTTTTTTTTTTTTTTTTTTAAATCAAAAAACCATCTCTAGGAAGGTTGCCATTCAGGTCTTGAGACAACATCCTAGACTGTGTGTATGTGGTTGGTTGATTTGTTTAGTGGCATACCAACACCTCTATGGGTTATTTAATACTGAAATCTAAATATTCTGAACACAATTTTATGGCTTAAACTAAATATATTTTGAACATAACTGTATGCCTACAACTACAGTTAAAATATATTGTTGGTAATTCTACTATAAAATTGTTTTGTTAATAACTTTTTTTTTATATATATAAAAATGTACTGCCAGTAATTTTACTATAAAAATGTATTTTTATACTTTCATAATGTTTCATTTTTGCTTGGGGGTTCGCTATTTTCCTATACCCGAGACCATAACAGGTGCTACCACCCCTTTGTGTGTGTGTTCCAATAAGAAGCTCATGCCACACACCACACCAGCAGAAAAGCCAGTTAGGATGTAATGACAACATCATTACATCTCAAAATTGTCATCAAACAACTCCAAGAAATTGCATACCTCTCTAATAAGAAATGTTATACCTTCTATATCAACCGCACAGCAGTATATGACCACATCAATAGAGAATTCCTCTTCTCAGCCATTAGAAACTGCATTAAAGTTCCAAATCCACAGACTGCATTGCTCTAATAAGCACTGATTATTTAAGCATTGTATACCAAATCCTAAATGAATCTACTAATGGGAGATAGTAATCCTTCTTTCCCTTCAGAGATCAAAGTACTGATAATGTGTGTGTGTGTGGGGGGGGGGTTGCTAATGACATAGATATTCATAATTGGGATAAGAATGAACAAAAAAATCAACATCTACTACTAAAAGCGTCACAAATAAATACGGCATGGTGGCTGTCAGTTTCACACCTCAAGTAATCTTTAAATGTTTTTTTTTTTTTTTTTTAATTGAGTTCACCCCAAGCAAGATAGTAAAACCACTGAGATACAAAGGGTTACTGGGTGAGGGAGAATTAAAAAACAGAAACATTACTAACGAGTGAGTACAAAAGATGAGCAATCAGGAGGACAGTAGATCACAGTTGACATTGCATTTAAATTTTTGAAGATTAAAATTGGCTGGAAAGCATGGGGTCAGAAAGGATGTTCCACAAGTTAGAAGTGTGAGAAAAGAAACTGTTAAAATAGAACTTACAGCTACATCTAACTAATTCAATTCTAAATTGGTGAGATGTTGTCACCAGTCTAGTACTGTGCTTAATTTCATAAAAACTAGGTACCATAGCGAAAAGCACATCCAAACATTTGCCATGAAAATATTTATAGAAAAAGCACAGGGAGGCAACTTTACAGTGGTAGAAAAGTGACTGAAGCCAAGCCGCCAGATCAGGACCAATAATAATGCAGACTCTTTTTTGTATTTTATCAAGGACCTCTAGATATATAGCAGGAGCACCAGACAATATGTGGCAGCAATATTCTAAGCATGGACAAATGGTAGACTTATAGATATGTAAGATGGATTCTGGAGAGAAAAAATATTTAGCACAACACAGTGAACCAACTTTCTTTGCAGTTGAGTCAAGTGGTCTGAAGATCACTTGAGATATGTAATTGACAGTCACTGTATTCACACCCTTCTATAACTCTGTAAATGTTCTGATATTGAGTACTCTTCACCCATAAATACAGCAAAGTATTAAACAATATAATTATGTAGAAACATCTATACACATAGCCTAATAATGAAAAGAAGCATTCACTTTTCAACATAATCACCTTCTTTATCAATTAACCCAACACTTCAGCATAGATCATACAAGTCAATTATATAGTGAATATTTCAAATCAAAATTCAGCTCATAACTCTGTGTGTGTGTGTGTGTGTGTGTGTGTATATATATATATATATATATATATATATATATATTACTTATTATAAAACACAGATTGTGTGTGTGTGTTCCTTTATATATGGGATCGGATTTCCTACATTTTTCAACCGATTTCAACAAAACTTCACTTTTTTTTTGGCAGGTAGTGTTTCTTATTGTCTTGCACACTTTGTTCTTTATTTTTTTTCATTCAGAATGCTTTAAAATTCCATTTACAAGACAATTGTTTATAATAAAATTCTATTCAATCAGTAGACTCATAACGATTGAAAACAATGTTTTTTTTTAAGTTTGGGTTTGACCTCATAACAAGACATGTGTCCATCAACCTTAAACAATAATCTTTGTCAATTTTGTTTTTCAGTCTTTTGATGGACGATACTTGATCTATATCTTATTGTTAACCAATTCACTGCTAGTAAAAAATATATATAAATAAATATATATATATAAAAGGTAGTGTTTCTTATTGTCTTGCACACTTTTTACTTTATTTTTACATTCAGAATGCTTTAAAAATTCCATTTACAAGACAATTGTTTTATAATAAAATTCTATTCTAGACTCATAATGATTGAAAACAATTTTTTTTTTTCAGTTTAGGTTTGACCAAGTAAAAAAACAAAAAAAATAATAATTAAAACATGCATGTCCGTCAACCTTAAACAATAATCTTTTTGATTTTATTTTTCAGTCTTTTATGATGGTCGATACTTGATCTCTCTCTTACTGTTACATCCCTGGGGAATGTTGGGTTCTCTGCTACTGCTATATATATATATATATATATATATATATATATATATTTGTTACAAATGGTACCATATAGGCAAAATGAAGTTCACTAAAGTGGGTCTTCTTTCTTGATGTTAACTCAGGGACCCCAAACAATGCAATGAGACCAACGATAAATAAACACAAAATGAGGGTATTTAATTTAATAAAACATTTATTTGCAACAAATACAATATAATTAACAATAAAGAAAAATGTTCAACTATTATGGGGGATGAGCATAAAACAAAACCAATTCAAATCAATCAAAACGTACTTATCTTTGCCTTGCCTTATATATATATATATATTGACCACTAATATTATATATATATATATATATATATATATATATATATATATAGCTCTCAGTGTGAAATTATTAATTCACCCACAAAATGTTGTTTTACAAAAGTATAGCCCTTGGCAATATTATTATTTTCTTGGGATAGAATAAAAAATGCATAAAAATATCCCTGTCTGCTTTTCACATGGTTTCCGCTGTGATAAGCCTGATTTCTCTTAACCTCCAATTCTTTTGGGATTGTCAAACACTGGTGAAGTTTGGTAATCTTCTTGGTACTTTCCTTAATTCTCTTCCATAATGATAGTCTTGACTATCGGATTTTATAGATACAAAAATAAGAACGGACCCACAATTTCATCTGTCTTTTCCTTCAGGCTGCAACTCTATTGAATTCTACTGATTCAATAATGATAAAATCAGGCCCATCCTTTTCAATTGGGATTCAAACCACAATTTTTTTTTCTTATGGGTTTCACAAATATAATAAGATTGGACCCAAAATTTCATCCATCTTCTCACTTCAACAACATGGCCACAACTGCTGATTTTTGTTTTTCCCACTCTCTGTGCTCACATGATCTATCTCTTTCTCTCTGAACTGAGCCTACACAAGGAGAGAAAGAAAGAAAGGAGAAACAAATAATACAAAGTTATCTGACAGGGCCCCTAGCAACAAGATACTGTTTATCTTTACTAGGGTTCTGCTGACAAGACAACTTCTGGGGGGTCAACTGTCTGGTTTCCTAACTTCTCAACAGAAAGGAAGGCAGGTAAGAAAGAAAAGAAAGGAGCAAAGCAGACTGTAGAACCTATTCACTAATTAGTATAGTTATTGATTTATTACTACAACTATTGATTGTTAATTTATCTATTAGGTTGATGGGTAATGTTAATATATATATATATATATATATATATATATATATATATATATAATTATTTATATATATATATTTGCGCAGTACTTATTAGAAAGTGCTCAATATCAGAGATAGAGCTAACATATTTGGTTGGATTGATGTGAGTTTGTGACCCTGGGTTTCACGCTTTTGTGATCGTCAGAAAAACTGATTAATTTTTTCAAATTTTGGGTTTATGTGTATTCGCGGCGTATTGGTGTTATTATGGAAGGGGGGGAAAACGTCATCGTGATGTTATCGTGCTAATATATATTATATACACGTACGCGCACACACACAAACCTTTGGCCCAAAACCTGTGGCCCAACTATATAAAATGATTATACACATTTATTTTATTAAGAAGTTAAGATTGTTTAGCAGTTTGCTTTTATCAGTGGAACTTTGAGGATTGGGAAATAGGTTGTTACTTTTTTATAGGTGTTGTGTAACAGAAGATACACTGTTTTAAGCAGTGGAAAAAAAGGCCATGCAAAATTATTGGATCAATGAAAGATCTGAGATGATAAAGTCATGATAATATATAAATTTCTTATCAGGAATTATTTCATCTTGTTACCATGCATGTAAGGTATCTTGGCAAGTCATTGTAATTGAACTTTAGCCTGCTTTTTTTTTACACTAATACCATAGGCTAAAATTTCTACTGAAACACAACTGACAGTTATGACTTATAAGAAGATGACTTAACAAGAGATAACCAGACTGCTACAAATTTACAGAAACAGAGTTCAAAGCATTCAAAAAATGTTGGCTACTACTGAAAGTGTTGTAAGTGCAAAGAAAACAGAAGACTGCAAAAGTTAGACAAGAGAAATGAAAGAAAGGCTGTAAGCGTCTCAGTAGACAAAATCTGAAATTAATAGCCAAAAAAATGAGGA